AAAGTTCTAGCACCGTGGACATTGGCCTTAAGGAATGTAGAGTGCAATAGAGTGTAATAAAGTGTAGCAAGTGTAGATGCGGAGAAGAGAGTGCGAGATCGCTGTGACAAACCGCGATCTCTACGACAGTCACAATTAAAAGAATGGCTAATTTGCGCTTATTTGTCACCTCGGCTGCGGATTTGTTAAACAATTACGGATTGGCAAGGTACAATAGCGAAACAATTGCAATATAAACTGCGATCCCGCTCGCTAACAATCTCAACAATTTTCCTCAACATTCTGCGATCGCTGTCCCACACAATTTTTACACGTTTGTTGCGCGCTTTTAGATGCTGCTTGACGAGCTTGAAAAGGGGATACAGTGTCTTCCCGACCCATTATATTCAGCCGACGTACAGGAAGGAAGATCAAGAAGCTCTGTTTCAAAGCGACCAAGCGAAAGAGGTTGCGCACAAGCAAGTGAGGCCGGCATTATTCACCGACACGTGCTCTGAATTTCATGATAAGAGAGTTCTGTGAGGAGCTGTTCCGATTTTCGTAAATGCGAACGTTTGCCGCGCCACCCCGCGACTTATCCAATTCTGTTCAGGAAATTTATCAACACCCTTATGAAGAAAGGAGATAAGAAACTGTCGACGCGGCTGGTGACTCTGACTTTCGAGAACGTCAAGAGGATGCAGTTGGAGCGCTATCACAAGGAAACGTCGAGCGAGGCGAAGGCAAACATTGAATTGGATCCTTTTGTGGTCTTCCACCGTGCCGTCGACAATTGCACGCCGATTTTGCAATTGAGGAGCTGCAGAAGAGGAGGAATCACGTATCAGGTAATAGATCATCGAACGTATGTAGTTATGGACAAGGTAAGAAAAAGAAAAACAAAGAAAAACTATCTTCTCAGATTCCTGTCCCAATTCCACCTGGGATGGCACAGCACAAGGCCATGCTGTGGTTGATTCAGGCTGCGAACGAGAAAGACCGTATTGCCAGATTTTATGACGTACTAGCCAAAGAATTAATAGCGGCTTCTCAGAATCAGGTTCGTAAAGCACTTTTCAATAGAGACGTGTAATTGTTTCCACATATCGACTGATCTCTTTCAAGGTCGTATCTCGATTTTACGCAGTTTCTGGTTTTCGTGCTTAAACGCTCATTTTTTAAGCGCAAGAATCAGAAATTGCATAAAATCGAGATACGAAAGAGATAAGTTGATGTACTGTATACAAGATACGCTTATTATAATATTTATTGTTCCAGGGTCGTGCGGTGAAGTGTAAGCAAGATTTGCACAAGACGTGTCAAGCCAACCGGGCTTACGCGCACTTTAGATGGATGTAGATAAAATATATACATGTACAAATAAATATCGAAACGAATGAGATGTGCTTTGTACAAGTTTAACAGAACTGTTGAACCACTAATCCAAGTATTTTACTGAAAATCTTATGAAATTTTGCCGAGCTGCACTTAAAATCTCTGTTGATTGACCTCGTTTCACCATCATTTTGTCAGTCAGCTTGGTGAAAATTGTTTTACAGCAATTTTTCATTGAAACGTAAGTTTTTTAGTTAAATTAAACTCATCCGTAACTTTTTTATTACTTTTCAACGATGTACCTCCTTATATAATTCATAGTATTATATTGAATTTAAGGAAAGTCTGTGTAATAAGGAAAAGTCATGATTTTTTAGATGTATCCAGTAAATTTTTCGAAAGCTTTTATCTCCATTAAAATATTTCCATCAGGGCATTCCCAGAATACACCTAAAGTTTTCTTCGTCGATTATCCGCCCGAACTTAATATTTATCTTTAAGCTCTGGTTTCGCGAGGGGAATATTATTTTTCTATACAGGGCATCGGTGATTCTGATCGGATTATCTGATACAGGCAAGATTTCATTGGCAGATATTTCCAAGTCTATCCTCTTTCCCCAATAGTCTATGTAAGATAATATCGCCTTTTCTTCATCCAGTTTCAAGTACACGTATCCTACGAGGTTGTTGCACAGAATTCCAATGGTGTGCAGCCATGCTGTCAGTAAAGCTCCTGCGGACGAAGAAATAAACTGCCTCTTTATAGGAATCGTAATTCTCATAATTCTGGTTTTCACCAAATCCACGTCGTTTAACTGTGACCTTAGCTTAATTTATCCTTTGCCTTTTTCTATCTCCTTATGTCCATTTCTACCAATGTAGATCAACTTCAATTTCGGTTTAACTTGCTCTTTAACTTCCTAACTTTTGAAACTAGAAGAGGATAAAAAACAAACCCAGATAAAAATTGACCTGCGTTGGTAGAAATGAACACTGAGGCCCGGTTTCACCGAACGTCGCTTAACTTTGATCTTAATTTAATTCACGTTTGCCTCTTTCTAAAGTAACAGTTGGAAAGAGGCAAAGGGCGAATTAAGCCAAGCTTGAAGTCAAACAACATTGGTGAAACCGGACGTAAAAGGGAACAAAGGATGAATTAAACCAAGATCAAAGTTAAACGACGTTGGTGAAAACGGGCATGCGCACGATCTAAGATTAACCGGAATTTTACCAGATGTTATTGATGCGAGAGTGGTGTCGAGAGACAGGATACCAGTTAGGCAAAGCCCAACGATCGCAGGCGTAGCTGCGCCAACGAGTAAAGTACATCGGTACTTCACAACGTTTATGTTGGAAGCTTGTCTGATGAAGGGAAGCATATAGATAACTTTGTACTCGGGAAACCTCGCGGAGGCAATTTCCTTGCCGGAGCTTGCTGGAGCAGCCTGCCGCTTCTCATCATTGCCCGCAACGTGGCTCAATCTTTTAACATTCAGTCTAACGCCGCACGAAACGCGGTGTAAAGATCGTTCGCAAAAGTTCAACAAGAGTCGGGGATGCATATTGCAATAACAATGGCAATCTTTCTTTCTAAATGTCCACTCCAGTTGAAGAGGACCGCAGCTTTAACCTTACGTTAAATTACGTAGCACCCATTTTGTACGTGTATGTACAGCTATAATCTTCCAGACTGTTTTGTCGTGTCTTCTTAATAAAAGTTATGTTCACTTTAGATTAGCTTTTCCTCTTTATTAGCTCGAGTATATACACTTACTCTGCTAATAAAATAGCAGTGAAATACTTTTTCGAGATCGCTCCTTAGCGTGGAGCTTCGACAAAGAGGTTATAACCGAAACGAGACTAGAGGAGAGAGATCGAGCGTTCGCGTCCGAGAATAACCGCAAAACATGTTCTCTTTATTGTCACCGCGTTATATTTCTTTAGTTCGAAATGGTTCGAAACGAAACAAGCATTCGTATACTCGAGTACACTTGGAAAGAGAAAGGCAAAAAGATATCGAGTGTAAATAGGAAGGTACAGAAAGTGCAGTCACAAGAAACAGACGCGGCGAGTCTGAACTAAACGTGTCCGATTTTATCGACAGACTTTGCCGAATCAGAGAGAAACCAGTGCGGGAATTCTGTAACTTGCTTTCGAGGTTTCTCGATAACGTTAACTAGGAACAACCAATGAAAATCTGCGTCTTTCTCGAAGATCGTCCTCGTCATTGGCGGTCGCTACTTAACGATACCGAAAAGCATCGATTACAAAGTTACAGAATTCCCGTACTGAGAACGGTAATGTAATTTTGAATTTCACAATCCCGAAAAATAGGCGTAGCATGGACGCGCACAAAGTGAAAACTTTATCGGCAGTGTCAGAAAGTGCAGAGCAAAGTAGTTCCAAAGGTAAAAATGGGCGTAATTAAAGCCCGCTGCAGACGATGCTATTTTTCCTGCTGGATTGCTTGCAATCTAATAAATTACTATCGTTGCACCATTCAGCACTCAGGATTCCTAGTAATTTAGTAAATCGCAAGCAATCCAGCAGGAAAAATAGCATCGTCTGCAGCGGGCTTAAGTCACACTACTCACACTATGCAGATCGCGAATCGGATTGAGATTGAGGGTCGCGGATCGCATTCAGCCAATCAGACGAGACAGCCTCGTGTCCGATTGGTTGAATTGCGCTCTGCCATTTCAATTCGATCCGTGATCCACAATACGTAGCGCGACACGGGCTTAAGAGCGCGCAAAACAGTCTCCCGAATGTAAAAAGGAATCGTTCATATTTAATTTCTCGTAATCAATTTCATGTCAAATGTGTACTCACGTTTCGTGGCATGATTGACCAAACCTCGTGGGATGATCGAGACTTCGTGGCACTTTGTATAACACCTCAGTATTAATCACACGCGACAGGAAAGGCAACACGATAAATACACGATTGCACGAAGTCACTATTTGCACTCAGTATTCCATGTAAATTCACTCAATGGCACAAATTTTAATCAAGAGAAATCGCCGACGTAATGAATCGGAGATTGAGCGATCGCGCGATGATACTGGTCATAATATTCGCAGAGAGCGATCGCGATTTCTTCCCGTACTCATCGCGAATCACGCGTGTCACGAAAGAACAGTACGATACGCGGTACGACGCGGGCACAACCGACTCGTTCAACTGTCGCCGCGCGAATGATCCTGCGTACGGCGTGACTTTGTTTCGCCGTAAACAACTCGGTCGCCGAGCCCCGGTTCCGAGAAAATGACGTAGCGGCATAGACCGAGCGGCGTAAACAACTCGGTCGCCGAGCGTTTGTTTGCATTCCAAAGTAGTGACGTAGCACGGTGAACACCTCGGTCGAAAAAAGTCTATTGTACGGAATTATTCGGCGCGAGTCAGTCGAGCGAGGCGGACGTTCCGCGTGTCTTCGCGTCGCGCGTCGTAACGCGATCGTTTAAATTCCTACGAGAATCTCGATCGTCTCGTACGCAATCGCGTTCAAGTAATTGTCGCGATCCGTAGTCATATCGTTGATTCTACGGTGATTCGGCGAGGTGAATATATATCACGCGTAATTCGAAGAGAAAATGCGATCGTAAGCGCGAGGTAATGCACGGATTGTCGGGTAAAAATGATAACGAAAAGTTGTAATATATCGATCGCTTGCCAAGAAATAATCTCTCGAACAATCATACGTAGAAAAGTGCGCGTATTACATAAAGTATTCATTTCCGTCGCGTTCGGGAGTGCCGTTTAAGCAATCGAACTAAAGACTTTTCGAGGCCCATGTGAAAAAGAAGTATTCTTTAAATGTTCGTTCCTGTCGATGGCCACACTTGTGAGATTCGGCAGTTTTTGAGATATAATACTCGCCGACTCGAAGTGGAGGCGATCACTTGACGGAACAAAATACATCCCAGTGAGAAATGATTCGTCGATCGACGTCAATTTGACGGTGTCGATGTCGATTCGACGTCGTTTCGACGTCGATCGACGAATCATTTCTCACTGGGATATTTTCACATAGGCTTTAACGGGAGTGTAAAATCGCGCGGACGATTTTGGTGTTTTCGCGAGTGTGCCAGACAATCTGAGTGGAGGAGGAGGCCTGGAAAAGGCATCGGGCACCGGCGGAGCAACTTTAAGGTAAATGTTACTTTTCATTTTGTGTAAAAGCAATCCTTTTCCAGTTTATTTTTGAGTCGTTTTCTTTCGTAATTCAATAATTTCGAAGTAATAATTAGAGAACAAGAAACCATTTAAAATTTTATAAAAGTTTACTCGCGTGAAGGTCTCTTGCGAAAAATCTTTCGCGCGTTAATCACTTAAACATTTAATCGAATAAAGTTTGATACGCATAAGAATTACTTATGCGACAACTATATTTTGCAAATATATATATTTTACAATATTAGTTTCCACATTGAACACTGCTTTAACAAATTCTATATTTGTGTTACAGATTCAACGTAGCCAACTCCGCTGCTGCGCGTCCGGTCGGTGAGTGAGTAGTTTTTTTATTGAGGTAACGAATCTCGTAAATCGTAGAATGTAGATCATAGATTGATATATTTTGGAGATTCGTTACCTAAAAATGGATGGATTACTTACGACATAATTTCATGTTAACTTTAATATATTTCATTTATCGAAGGGGAATGATAGCAATTTTTATTGTGGAGGGTTGGGTGCTCCGTTGCGGCACACGTCACATATTTTCACGCAAAATATGACGAATATTATTAATGTATTCGTCGAGCTAATATCTTGTAATCTATTCTATCCATTTTTCAGTAGCAAATTTATACGTGTATAAAGTAAAATACCATGACGTGAGATTCTAAGATTTTGTCGAGAACGCTGAAACTTTATATTATTTTCATACGTTATTTGAGATTATTGATTAACTAGAATGTTCAATTGTCGGTCTACCTATCGTACGGAAAGTTCCTTTTCTCTGGATCTCACGTCATTTATTCTGTATGTGTATCTCGCGATTCAAGATGCGTCTGGCATGAATACATGCATAGTGCAACGCATCTTCGTATTTTCGCGGTCGGTCTTCGCGATCAGCTTTTCAAAAAATTTTCAAGAAATTATTAATTGCTCAATTTCATCCATATTATAAATTTAAAT